CAAAAAATCGCCACTGTTGGCCCTTTATATTTATTAGTGGAAGTATTTCGCTTTTAAAGTACCACATAATTGGAAAGTTTCAAAAAAACTGCACAAAAGGAAATTAATTAGACCTACATCTGGTGCCAGCTGTCGTAAATTTCCAAGTTTGAGATAATCCGGGCGAAAATCATGACCCCAATGCGTGACACAGTGTGCCTCGTCCACAACAAAATAATTCAACATGTTCCTTTTGGATAAGCTTGTGATCATTCGTTGGATGTTCGGAGTTGCCGCTGATTCGGGTGTTATGTAAAGCAACTGTAGCACCGGACTGAGCGACCGTAAATCCTAAATTTCATTCATATGCTCCACAAAAGTATCGGTTAAATCTGTAAAAGAGTCAGGACAGAGGAGGGGAATAAGGGTACTAGTCAGGAGTTCGAGGCAAGAACTGGAGATAGCTATAGGGAGGAAGAGACAAAACAGTGCTACAAAGAAAAGTAAATTAAAGCAAATCTGAACTTTTGAATAAAAGCAAAAAAAGCGAGAGTTGAAATACTCGTATCGTGAGTTTTCGTGAGATTTAATCGTGAGTTTTCGGAACGCAAACTATTTTGGACTCACCTCAACAATTCGCCTTCTATCCTCAGCACCGGTTTTCGAATTCAGTGAATCACATTTGATGCCACGAGCTTTACAGGACAGTACTTGATCTTGTATTAAAGCAATCAGAGGCGAAAAAACAATTGTTACGCCTGGATTATACAGCAATGCTGGCAACTGCAACACAATTGCTCGTCAAAAAAATTAATATAAAAGGAAGAGTAAATAAACTACGGACACAGTCCCAATACTCAAAAAAATTGGCCATCACACCGACTGCCGGTGCGAAGATGAATTTTCTGCACACTTTTTCGCAGGTTTTTGTCGCTGATAGCACTAATTTTTCCGGCGGATGGTTCTAGCTAAAAGAATTGGGATTGGCTGCCAAGACTGCGAGAAAACATTCCCCTAAAATTTCAGCTTTCTAGCTTCCCTTAGTTCCCGAGTTCGCAACTCACCCGTCAAAAATTTTCACAAGCCCGTACTTGCGAATCACGCGGGTAAGAGCGTTCATTTTGGAAATACGAGACCGTAGATGCACGTAGATTGAGTCCCCAAAATTTCAGCATTGTAGTTTTTGTAGATTTCGAAATGAAAAATTGGTATAAATGAACACACAGACACACACACATACACACACACAGGCACACACACAGGCACACACATACACACACACATCACACGTAGACAAATCTTTGACAATATGCGTTCTTGCATTGCATAGGTGCAAAAAAAGCGCAAAAAGGTTTTCATGATCACGTTGAATGCCTTGTCATTCGCAAGGCAGTTTTATTACTTTTTTGCCAAAAAACACGGAAATTGAAGGAAACTTGAGGCAGAAGAGCTCGAAAGATTCGAAGAGTACCTGATAACAGAGTGATTTTCCAGCACCAGTCGGTAACGAGATGAAAACATCCGATTTCTCTAAAAAAAAATTTTTTTTGTAAAAAAGCAAGGCTTAGGAGATCTAAAAACTTTTTTTTTTGACTTAAAAATTCCGTTTTTAATGTCTGGTACAATATTCCATTTACTGAGGCCTCCTTCGGGAAATGTTTTGCAGGGACTGGCAAACTCGGTATGGCGCTAAATGTCATCAAAATCAATCTCTATGCAATTCGTTGGCTCATGGCTAATATGGCGGATAGTGTAAGATATTCCCCAGAGCTTGTTTTGAACTTTTTTATTTTCCCCAATGAAACTTATGAGCGAATTAGCTATTGAAATGCTTCGAAAAAAAAAAAACTGGTGGCAGAGATAAGATAAAATTAAAAAGCAAAACCGAGATCGACAAAAGATGGGTCGCACCAACGCCTGTTCAAAAATTCCAAAAGGTTCGAGAAGGATCATCGTTACACTCATTTCAGGTGCAAGAAACCCAAAATCTTTGCCAGCGCAACTGTGTCAGGCCTCAAACTTGCCATTTTTGCTAAATATTATTAGATAATGGAAGTGTTTGAAAAGATACTTTTAGAAACGGTGTAAATAGCCTGTTTCTGGATGGCTGTTTTAAATTTCTTATGTCCAAATACAGTGGTCAAAAGATGTTCCGCTTTTTCCTTAATCTCTGTGCTGGATAAATTTCTTGATGTGCATGCTTCTGGCAAAGATGTGGTTTTCTGTTCACAAGCAATCACATCTGGTAATTTCGATTTAGCAGTTGCTGCTGAAACAAAAATGTTGAATATCGATTACAGATACTGACCTTTGATTGTGTAAACATTCATGACTGTATATAAAGACTATATTATACATTCTTTTCTTTTACCCCGTTCCAGTCGTCTACTTGGGCGTGCGCTTGCATTCGCAGATGTTTGCATTCTTCTTATTTTCGCCTTTCAACTCCCTTTTTTTTAAACCCCTTAAGCCTTTCTTTTCATTATTTTTTTTGTCATTCCCTTTTGCCCTAATTATCATTTTCCACATTTTTTCTAGTACATTCCAACCTGCAAATTTTGGAGAAAATTTCTCCAAAATTTTTCCAAAAAAT